CCAGGCCCAAATATTTTCTCCGTTTCTATTTCATTTTGGTCTCTCGCTCTATGAATTATGAAGAAAACTGGGCAACACTGGAAAGATTGCCATTTTCTCAGCCATTTAAACACCTTTTTCTTGTTTTCTAAAGTTACGGGGTTTTTTTTATTGCAACTCATTTGACTGCATTTTCTGTGCATTTTCAGGAGGCTATTGCTATTCATTTCCCGTTCTCAGACGCGCCAAATATGGCGACCATAATTGCGCAAGAGCTTGTTCCCACATGGCGCAAACGCTGCGTTATGATTGGCTAGAGCCACGTGGGCTACGAACACGGCAGAGGAAACCTTGGCGCTATTCGACGGAATGCATTGTTCTTGAGAAGATTTTACGAAGCAAAATGTATTTTTGAGGAAGTTTGCCCCTCTAATAACCTGAATACCTATCAAGTCGTGAAGGAAATGTTTCAATACGCGTGGTTAGAATGTTAGCGATCCCTGAAGAGCCCAGCGAAATGAGGTGAGCTTCGTTGAAAGTCGCCATGGACGCGTTGTGATACACTGAAGTTAGTGAGATTTCACTAAGCTTACGTGTTAAAAGGATTTAAAGCCACGGAAGGTCGATATTTTGTCGGGTTGCCGCTCAAACTATTTGTGAATGTTCTGCTGAACATTGCCAGTTTTATATCTGTTTGATCAAAGACATCGAAGGCGAAAGTTTGCGTAAAATTCTTTTTTAACACGAGTATTTGTACGAAGCGAGCTTTAGCTTAGAACAGAGGAGGTTTGCTTGTCCTTAGTACTGGGAATGTTTTTTTACACTCTACGTACTCATTTTTTAACAAGTCAATTGTTCATTCTATGCGACATGTTAGTGAACGACATCATAATGTAATTTGGGATTATAAAGTTCGACTAAATTATTCATCTAGATAATTCGATCATGGCATCCAAGTTTTTGAGGAGGAATTTTATCGTCTTGTTTGGTTTCCACTTTTGAATGGACGTTTTTGGACGATATTGTTGTACTATTTTGTTTTGTACTTGTCTAATCTCTACTATATGAGGGCTTTGGTTGCTCAAGTACAATTGTTTCTTAAGTGATTTGTAAGCTTGTGAACTGTATATTTCAAATGTCTTGATTTCGGTTTCGTTCACTTTAAGCTTACTTTCTTTAATCAAGAAAAGGCAGTTTTTACATCTCGTTTTAACCAGGTGTTGTCGCCTTTCTTTTTCAGACTCTGGGGGAGTCCCCCTCCATTTAGTAAAGATTCTTTTTTTGATGATTATTCTACCCCTTCCTTCCTGGAATATGATGTAGCTGCAGAAGTGGAATGGTCAGTAATAAAATATTTTTTACATTTTTCAGATGAAGCCAAGGGTTTCTTTAAATTAATTGACAAGCAGACTAGATTTATAGTAGTGACGTGTCAAACCTTAAACTTAAACTATATTGAATTTGTTGCATACTCATACATAGGAAACCAATGGGTATTTCAGGTAAATTTGAATGTGACGACGATTGTTACAAGGGAACTTAAGAGCACAGTTCGAATACCTGACAGAGTGTGATTATGAATTTTGAAACCCAGTGATTATGCTTTTGATTATCATGTTTCTCACCTGTCCTGTACCTATAGTCTCCTCATTCAACTGATGAGTAGAAAAGGAGGAGTGAAGCTCTGGGAACACGACTGGATTGAATTAATAAGTCATTCTTGTCTCCCAGCTCAGATTGACAACCACAGTGCTTGTACTGCCATCAAAAGGTTCCTATCACATGTACATGAACTACACCATACATGCATGTGTTTATATGTACAGGAAACACCAGGGGCATGGGGGCTTCTCAAGTGTAATAGTAATATTGAGGTGTGAAGACCTATCTTGGGGTTAAATTGTGATCTAAGTACTTCTGTAGGGTTACACACTTTGTGGTGACTCTTTGAGCGAAAGATATTGGTTAGGTTAGCAAAAGGAGTAGTGCTCACAGCATTCTTATTTTTATAACAAACAATTGTATCAGTTTTCTTTACATTTAACTACATGTGAATGACAATTGGACTTCCTGTATCATGCAGAGTAAAATAAATATGTATTTCCCTGATTGAAGATTTGTGGTCATATTTCAAACTAACTTGAGATTTGTTGCTTCGTTTAGTGGTCAAGGGTTAGAGATAGAGGAAGATACAGACTGCTGGTACAGTGAATCAACATCGGCTACATCTTCAGTCGATTCTTCAGAATATAATTCAGATGATGGATTTATAGACATTGAGAGTGAAGATGGAAAAATCTCTTCTTTCTCAGTAAGTACATGAATAAACATGTGGTGTGCATTTGGTATACAAAATAATTTTAAGTGGCTTTTCATTCTTGAGTGATGCCTGTTAAACTACATTGGAACATATATTTGCAAACTCTTTTTGAACTGTTCGTCGCTGTTGTGTTGTAGGGCTCATATCTAAATATTGCAGAGTTGGAGAGGAAATGTAGAGGTGAGAGTTTGTATTTATACTTACAGCTGTTTCGACAATGGTTGTCCTTCAAAAGTGTAGAAGGGTATGCAACAGTGCCAATATGAATGATGGGTAGTGTCAGTTTATCGCTAGTCGATGGATTGTGTTTTTCAGTGTGATAGAACGTAAATCCAAATGTGTATTCATGGTTTCTCCTCCCTTCATGTGGAAACTTTCTGAACTTTAATCTACCAGCCATGAACTACATGTAGTATTATAATCTATAATTCCTTGTGGCATGCTCTTGTGCAATTTTAGGTTTTACATGCACTTAGGGATGTTTGTGCTAATTGTTTCTGCTCATCCTTACTGTGCATACAAATTCAGACGCCATGTCATGCATCGAGCGTGCACTAAGTAATAAAATGAACAATGATAGGGCAGTTGTGTGGGGCAGATGGTCATTGCTATAGCTAGACCTGGATTTAATGATCTTGACGTTTGGTGACCCCTATTTTTCTTGTGATGGATCATTTTCTTTACCGATTTTCTACATTTAGTGAAACAATGAAGAAAATCTGTTGATTAGAAGTTTAAATTTTTTGCAAAATGCACCATCGAATTCCATTCTTTTTGGCTCTTCATTTATGTGTGTGGCGGTTTCAAATGCCTCTTAAAGGGTAAAGTTCCATGAAAATGTTGGCAATATTTGGAATTATTAACGCAATGGATTCACTCATACAAAATATTACTAGGATAGTTTGTCTCCATTGATTCATCTGATATTTTAAGCTAAAAACCCTGGAGACCATGCTGATTTAGGTGCACCAATTTTCCAAAATCAGACTAAATTTCCACACGTTTTACAGTATCTCTGAAATGAAGTTGGTGACCCCCAAATATTTTTTTCATTTCTGAAACAAACAATTCATTATCTGTGGAACATTTTGTGCGTATATACTTAAATTAGAGTGTTGGCAGAAACTTTGCCATGGCACAGTGCAGGCAGAGCTAAAAAAAATGTTCAAGACTTGACTTGGAATTTTTGTTATATTAGTCTGACCCATTCAATATCATACTATTGTCTTATTAGCAGTGTATCAATATTGCTGTAGACTGCAATTAACCCTAGCAGTTATTTTACATGTAGATGTTTCACAATTATATGTGCTTCACAGCACAGCATGTGAAATGTTGAAATGAGACAAGTTTTATGGTAACACACTTTAATTATATATTACTCCAAAGTGTAGCAGTGTGATAAATAACAGCTTGACTGCCTTCTTTTAATTTCCCTAGAATTAAAAGCAGTAGAGAACAGCTCACTCAATTGGACAGGAAATTGCAGTAGAAAAAGGAACCAAAGGAATGGAGATTCCAAGAAAAGCTCATTAGTCGATGATATTTTGGGGAGAAGCAAGCAGGAAAATGAGAGAAGTTCAAGCTCCAAGTCAAGAAATAAATATATGTGTCCATGCCAAAAATTGAAAGAATCCATGGAGTTTGGCTTGAGTTGGTATGTCAAATATCGTATTACATTTTTGTACATGTATGTACATTTTGTATTTGAGGTTTTAAATTTTTATTTCTTTGTTTTTTATGTAGTGAAGGACACGGTTATTGATTCTTAACCTTATACATGTGCAATCCTCCAATCATGTAAATGTATTTTCAGTGGTTCTGTAATAATTAATTCACAGAATCACTACTTAGTTGGAGGTAAATGAATGGATGTTAAATCCCAAGCTTGTTTTGTTTCTGTGAACATGCTTGCTATGAGCTTTATCCAACATCACCTGCTAGCTATATGGACTGTGCCTGTGGGGTTTCCACCTTGTATTTATTTATCTTTCTTTCTAATTTTAACAAGTTATTTGTTTTGTGTTAACACTGTACACAGTTTAAATTTTAAAAAAAATTCTGATTATGATCTAGTGGATTTTCCAAACTACATGAAACTATAAAACATGGACATTTGGTAACAGGGTTTCAATGTTTTGAGCTTGGAGTATTTAGTGAACCATAATGATTTGATTTAGAGTCTTCACTCAGAATATAACATTGTTCCTCTCAATTACTGACACTAAATGTTCCCCTGAAATGTTATTTTGTCGTAAGTGGGGTTTTATTTGGGGGCTTAAGTGAAAATGGCTAGTACATCCTTGTTACAGCTTGCCTGAATGGTAATTTGGAAACTTTTTTTTTGCACCCTGGATTTGAGTAAAGTTAGATGTAAATCTAACCAAACTTCTGCAATACATGTAAATCACAGCATTTATTGTAATTCTTGCTAATTCCTGTATTAATTCTGTCTTAGGAACAAAATGTCATCTGATGACCAAGTCGAGGCAGTTGAATGCTTGACAAGAGTGGCTTCCTTAACCATGGGCCTCAGAGAACAAATGGAAATCATCAGAATTATTAACCCTGAAGCAACAGTCCTTCCTACAGACACAGAATTTGAAATAGGTACATTAATTGATTGTCTGTGTCAGTTGATCATATAAGTGGTTACTAAAAGCAGCATCCAGAGAGTGAAAGTTGGAAATGTTACTTGGCTACTTTTATTAAAATCTTTAATTTAATTATTTTCATAATTGCCCTGTTTAACTGTTCACAGAGTCCTGGGTGGGAAAAAAACCCAGGTTTGATTGCCTGGAGGAAGTAAATTTTGCTCATGGGCAAGTGAAAATGGAAGTTTGGTGGTCTGTTTGGCAAGGGAAATTAGCCACAGTAGTCTTGTTAGTGATAATTTCAAATCTGAAAAATTTCAAAACTTATGATTGCAAGATGAGCAAAACAATGAATTGAAAGCATGGATTAATTGAAAACTAAGTATACTTCCCTCACATTCGTTGTGCACCTATTGGGCAAGCAATATTTTAGTAGGGGCAACTGAAAACTGAAATATACTGGCCCACTCAGCAAGTGGTTTTCAAAATTATTTTCCTGCCATGGAGTCTGATATTAATCATTACCATATATAGAATCAAAGTTAGCCAGTCCAAAGCTATGTCAATTGTCCTGATATCCAGTGATATCAAATCACTGACTTGATATAGCCAGGTCTGTAGCTGCATTTGGGCATGTAAAAATTACCAGCATTGTACATGTACATGACATAATCTTACATTTTCTTTTGCTATGCTTTGGCGGCATATAGGGCTCATTTATTTATTTTGGTCTCTCCATAGATATTTTGGCATTTCACCAAGTGTGAACCATTATATACACTGTACCCAATTGTCAGTACCTTTTTGGTATCAGGCGAGTTTGGTTGAGGCATGGTTAATTCATATCTGTGAGACCAAACATGCCTGATATGCCACCAAAGCGTACCAAAAAGGAACGATTATGCTGTAGGTACAGTGTATTTACATGTATTGTACCCAAGTTTGGCTAAGTGAGCTTGATATCATAGCCATGTCAGTTCAGTGACTTGATATCGTAGACTATTAGGACAGTAGACATGGCTTCTAATTGGCTAATTGAAAATTTGAGTATGGTAATCAACCAAACTGGTTTGAAATGCCATTGAAGGGTGTACTTAAAATATACAATATTGGGCATAAATATATCAAGGTGAAAGCCACCATCCTTCTTGCAAAATGGCAAAGTATTAAATGGTTTAATCCAAGAATTTGACTGTGCAAAATGTACATGTGCAATGTAGTTACTTGCTCAATTAAGCGTTAATATTGCAGTTAAGAGAATATACATGTAGGCCTTGATGACTCTTACTCTGATGTACTAACTTGTTGTTTTGCTTTACCTTTGTGCAGACCTAGACGCATTCAATGATGCCAAATTTCAAAGAATACACAGATACATTATAGACCATCTGTCCAGGGATTCGTGTCCTCTGTGTACAGGTACAGTGTAGCCATCATATTTTGTGTTTTTGTCACACCTTTCGTATTACTTTTACTGGAACTGTGAGGGATATTTTTGTAGTGTTACATCACAATGTTGCACCTTCCTGTTACATATACATGTACATGCTCAGTCACACCTTCTTACATGCACTACTGTTCACACCTTACTACTACCCTAATCACTCAGTGGCACAAATTCATGTAGACTATGTACTGTACCTGGTTGCATTTTTTTACTGTTGGCAGGCATCAAATTTAAATCTCACTAATGAGTATTAAACTTGTTTTAATTTGTTCAGAAGAAATGTTTTGGGCTTGAAATATTATTCGGTTCACTTTAGGGAAACGTTTAAAGTTTGTAACTTAAGAAAACATTTTGGTTGAGATTACCATTAGTTTTTCCAGGAAAATCTAATTGTTTTGTGAAAATAAAAGCTGTTAGGATGTACATGTATGAACATGGTTTTGCCATCTCACTTTTTCCTGTTTCTTCCAGATTCACAATCAGAAATGTGTAGACAAAATTCAAATTTCACACACAGAAAGCACTTGAAGGTAAGATTGTGTTAGTTTTTCTTGGAATTATACAAGTCTCTCCCAAATGTTCCTTTTTAGCAAATGTAGCTGCCTCTTAGTGATCCTAGTTGCTTTGGGTAGTGAATGAAATTTAAGAATTAATCGTACACTGCAAATATTAGAAGCATTCAATACATTTGATTCTTCAGGGTGAGACGAAGGTGAAAAATTGACTTGCTGTTCAGGAATCTGTTGTTTGAAGTAAAAATACCTAATACTAGAGTGACCCTGAATGGAGTAATATAAAATGGCCACCTTATCAATATGGACACACTATTACGTCTATAGGAAAGTGGCCAGTGTATGGCGTCATGATGGTATGGGGAGGTTGGGGTGTAATATGACACTTGTTTGAGGGAGGATGCAACCTTTTTTTGTTAAAAAAATGCTTATGTTAGCAAATATAAAACCAAAATGTATCAATAAAACAGAAACTTAACAGAAAAGGACCAACAACATGCAGTATCGATACAGTCACCGTCAGTCAGTGATTAACTGGCCGTTGTAGAGAGGTTAGAAGAGTGAATGTATGGACTGTCCACCAGGACCAAAAACGTGACTGTTGAAGAAGTTCGACTGAATATCATTTTAGAGAATTTTGTAATACCATAATCCTAGTCGTCTTTAAAATAATTGCATTATTGATCCAATGTTGTAGTATTCAATTGAGGAGGTTTGAGCTAAAATTTAAAGCAAACACATTACATACACAAAGTAATTTTCGAATTTTTTTTTTCTTACAGAGAAAACCTAGAGGAACTCTTAGCATGAAAAGAATTTCAAGAAAATCCTCGAAACATAAAGGATTGTTAAAACGAGTTCAGCGACAAATGTTAAAGGAGCAAAGAAGCGGCCTCTTTGAGAATGAAGAGGTGAGAAATCAGACATGGTACCATTGTGATGATAAATAATTAATATGGCAGGGCTGAACAAGTTGCCTGAAATTCCAACAAAAAGCCAAGCCGTGTTTGTTGAAAAGCCTCTTGAGGATTTATTGCATATGAAATACCTGTAGCTGATATCCACTCCACGTTATTCTTTACCAGAACCCCTCTTCTCAGAAGACTTAAAGTATGAATTATTTCATTAACACAGGAAGTTGGTGATGTGGTACAAAAGAATAAATCAAGTGATAGTTCATCAATCTGCCGTGTCTACTTCTGGGATAGCTTAGCTTGGTGAAAAAATCTCACTGGTTATTTTGTGACGTTTTTATTTTCTCTTTTCTCTCTGCAGGTAATTTCATTGAGCTCAAGAACTAAAGAGGAAGCTAACGATGTTGAAATTGACATACTTTGCTAATTTTTTTGAAGTAACAAAATGAATAAACTTAAGTAACGCATCCACTTTATAAGTGTTGTTGCTTCATGAATTTTTTATACTTTGTGGTTCCATTCCCCTGTAGGACATGTTCTTTCACGTATGTCGGGGAAAGCAGAAGAAATTGGAAATCTCGGGGGGCCGAACACAAGCCCGGAACCAATGGAAATGCCAATTCCGCAATTAAACAGCATGCGGAAACCGGCCACGAT